GCACCCACTGATATACTTACTTACTCTTATTCAGACCAGGGTAACTGTCACAAAGGAAGCATGGAATCAAACAGAGACTTTTCCATTCACAAACACACTTAAACTTATCAGTACAGAAACTCCTACTGTTGCTTCAAAGCTAACTTTATGAACAGTAAGTTCTTGCAGTAGAAGACAGGTGACGTCCCAGCAAGTATTTTAAATAAATCACTGACTTGATATTTAAGTTCAAACTATAGATTTAATGTCTTCTTTACTACAAATATGATGTCTATGACCTGCAGTACAGAGTTGTCTGCTAAAATCTTTGTACAAGGCATAGGGATATTAGCACCAGCAGACAAACAGAAGAAGGATCGTGTGTGTGTGTGTGTGTGTGTGTGTGTGTGTGTCTGTGTGTGTGTCTGTGTGCAGGTTCCTGTGCAGTGCAGCAGGACCTGTCAGGTCCCCTGGAGCTGGAGTCACAGGCTGCAGTGAGACGTACCACAGTGGGTGCTGGGAACCCAACTTGGGGCTTCTACAAGATCAGTCCAGGGTATTAACCTGGGGATGCTCTCCAGCATCTGAAATGTTTTTAAAAACACATTTGACAATTTGTTTTCAGAAACATAAAAGAGCCATAAACTCTTTGAATCACTTCATTTGTAGACATTTGTAAGGATAAAAACACAAAAGGTAGAAATGGGAGAAATAACAGAATTATTTGTAATAGATTATTAAAAACTACATACAGTAAAATTATTATTTCATTAAAACATTTAGATCACAGGCCAGCGAACTACTATTCAGGGCCAAATGTGGTGTGTTATACTTATGCAGATAAAGTTTTACTGGAACACAGTCTTTCATGGGTTTAGGTATTGCCTCAGACAGCTTTCACATAACAACTGAGAAACTCAACAGACTCAACCAAAGATCAAAATATTTATTCTGTAATTTACTTCAAGTTTGTAGATCTGCTATGGTTAATATGTATGGATGAAAAAGATACACCTATAGCTATCTGTACTGGATTAAGAATAACATATAGATTTAAAATAAGTTGAGGGGAGACAAGAGTTGACTTGCTAGAAGAGATTCCACTGCATTTTAACATTTCCCATTGCTATGACAACTAGTGTATGTACAACACAAGTAAGTGAAAATATGCTTCGTGTATGAAAAAGGATAAACTAAATCAGACATACCCAGGCATAAAGCTTGGTTTCACATTTTCTGGTAGTGTGATCCAGGAACATGTACCAGAGTGCACATATTAAGCCCTGTAACAGCAATGAGTTACAAACATCCTCTACTAATGTCCAAGAAGAAATGGGTAAGTAAAATATCATTAAGGTCAGATAAAAAGGAGACACTGAGATCTATAAAGAAAGTGTTGAATTAAAAATTAAGACTAAATGAGCAATAATAAAATAAGAGGCAACTATGCTAGTCTTCAGTAGGCACACATATAAAGAAAGAGTCATAGACGATGGGCTGGAAGAGCACACATTAAAAATCTAGGTGTATAAATATATGAAGAAAAAGAGGCGATAAAACCGAGGAAATGCCAGTTAGGGCAGGGTCCCCAGAATATTACTGATACCATTTTAGCTACTCACACTAAAAAAGTCAAAATCCTCACTGAATGGCAGGGACTTTTATAACCCAATTAGGAGCTCCCCCTCTCTAAATGGGTTTTTGTTTTGTTGTTGTTTTTTTGTAAGATAATTTACTTTTGAAAATAATAGATAAAGGTCCAAAATAGAGTTGGCTGTTTACCTCCTCTGTCATTTTTGGTTAATAACTTTCCAATTCAAATGGTTTTTATGTTTCCTTAAATTTCAAAAGAACAGTTTTAAAACACAACCTAAAGTATTATAATAAACCACATGTCATAACCCAATGTAAGATAAATTCAGTAAGCCAGGCTAATCATTAAACCACAGTAGTATAAAAATTGAAGGGTGCATGACACATTTTAAGTAATGCTTTATGAAATTTATTTCTATCCTTACATATATTCTGTACGGTGGGTCCGGTTTCTTACTGGGGGTCTCATTCATGAGCTTGAAATGTCACTGATCTATGGAAATTCGAAATTGTTACTAAATGGTAGTATAAGAGAATTGGATAGCAGGGCGGTGGTGGCGCACGCCTTTAATTCCAGCATTTGGGAGGCAGAGACAGGCGGATTTCTGAGTTCAAGGCCAGCCTGGTCTACAGAGTGAGTTCCAGGACAGCCAGGGCTATACAGAAAAACCCTGTCTCGAAAAACAAAAAAAAAAAAAAAAAAAAAAAAAAAAAAGAAAGAAAAGAAAAAAGAAAAAAGAGAATTGGATGGAAATTTAAATTGAGTGGTACTGGAGTTTCAAGTGTTAAGGGCAGTATTACCTCATCTAGGATAACTACTTCCCAAATAGATAGACCTGGCATGGCAGTAAATAAATCTAAGAAAACATTGTACTAGCTCTAAAGTAATTTTCTTGAAATTGAAGAATGTCATACTAGAAAAAAATCACTAAATTATGAGATACATTGCAGAATCTTAACCATAAACAGTCATTTTAGGACCACTGAGATCATTGGGTCATTGATGGTGCTTGTCACCAAGCCTGTCAGCCAGAGTCTGACTCCTCGGACCTACGGGATGAAGAGAACTAATTCCTCCAGGTTTTCCCAACCTCCACAGATACTAATGAATGTGTCCCCCAATAGGTTTATTAAAGAAAGAAAAGCAGTTATCATAATAACAGGAGTTCTTATTAATGGTTTGCTCAGATTCAGTGCATCTTTACTAACAGACATGTGACATCTTACTGAGGTGTATGTTTAGTTTTATTCAGAAGTAGTTGGTTGAGATAGAAAACCTTAAATAGCTTCAGTGTTCCACCTGGGGGGAAGGGGAGGGTGCAGGCCTGTGTTTGTAAACCTAGTGCTGAGATGGTGGATCTTTAAGGACTTACTGCCAGTCTGCTTGGTGAGTTCCAGGCCAAACAAGGCCGTTTCTCAAAAGAAACAGTGAAAGGCAGCGGATGAAGGACATCTGAAATTGTCCTGTGGCCTTCTACACTGATGCTGTCTTGTCTAATTAGTTTCCAGGGTCCAACAGCAGAACCAGAAGAGAATAGATTTGTCTAAAACTTTGTCTACAGTAGTGTCCTCGCTAGGCTGGCTAGAGTTGGCATGTGCTTATAAGCCAGCTACAAGTGAAGCTGACTTAAGAGGACCACCTGAGCTCTGGAGAAAACTGGAGGACAGGAAAGGATGCTGCAAGGAGGAGGTTTAGCCAGCCACTCTTACCAGACTGGGCACACCAGACATCTTGTTCACCTTTACATTCACAGAGTCTAAAAACAGATCTACAACAATTAGGTAAACATTTAAAGAATGTTTATCCCACAAAGAGGTCTGGAGACTTAAGGCTCAGCCCAGGTTCTCGCTCTTTGCTTCCTATGTAAACAGAATAAAACCATCATGTTTCCAGTGTGTTTTGATAACTTTCTTTTCTCCTCATGAGAGTTGGCCCACTGCCTAGGGTATGTCAAATTTCTGGTGTTTATATTCAAAATTTCTACCGGGCCAAGAGTGGCTGTACGCACATAAACTTAACTTCCAGGAAAATTTATCTGACAATTTCCCCATTAACAATTCTTTTGTCAAAATTTACATCAAGGTTGCTACTATTCAACGTACATTCCAGAATAGGCAAGAAAAAAAAAGTAGCTTTATAGGATCGTTAAGATTATCTTACAATACACCAGAAAAGGATAAAAATCAAATGACGGTTCATGAGACCACAACAACCCTCTGGCAGATCCAGACAGGTTTCTGTCAAAGCTACCTGGAAGTCACTTCACTTGGATAGTGATGTTTTAGCCCATGCAGAGCTAACTGTAGAAATAACAATGCTTTCACAATACACCAGAAAGAATACACAAATAACCTGCCATTAAAACGTCATTTTGTACATTTGAGATAGTCCTTATCTGTTGATAGGTACACGATAGGGCCCCAAATTAGGCAAAAATCTTGGCCCAAGCTGAACATCTGTTTTTTAGGAATCTGAGGCTAAGTCCACGACCACAGTCAGTACCCTCTTCAGACTCTGGGATGTAGCAGTCAAAAGACAGTTCCTCAGACCTGTGGGTTTGGGTTCAAGTGTCCGGAGAAGGGCAGTAGTGGGCTCGAACCCCGACCCCATGCCTCCCCTCGCGTCCTGCCGGCCGGGCTACCGGTTTTTTTTTTTTTTTTTTTTTTTTTTTAGTAGCGGTTACCAAGTCGCCCTGCGGGCTGGCGAGGCCGAGGTGGCGGCGCCTAGGGCTGAGGACAGCCTGTGTCCTCCCGTGGAGGTTCGGTGGTACCCACCCCGGTTGCTCGCCTCCGTCGGGCACCGAACCGGGGAAACGGACCCCGAACGCAGGGGAGGTTGGCTCGCCCGCTGGAGTCCGACCGGATGCGGAAGCCCGTGAGCCGCTCACCTGCGAACTGTGGCCGCTACCGACTCTCGCGCCGCGCGGAGCGTTCGGGGTCTCGCTCGCTCTGCGCACGCGCAGCCACACCTCCAGCTTTCCCCCTCCCCCGCATAAGCCGCGAACCCAGACTCGCGCACACGCGAGCGCGGGCGGAAGCTGAGGGAGATAGAGTCAGCGGAAGGGGAGAGGCAGGGCGACTGCGGAGCCGAGTCTCTGCAGAAGATGGTGAGGGCAGCGCTCCTGTCGTCCATAGTTCCGGGGGACCCCGTCACAGTGATCAGGCCTGTGCTGTAGGTGCGACAGCTTCTCCGCAGGGCTTCCCGAGGACTTGGAGGCTCGTGGAAAGGAGACCACCAAGGCCTTCCTGCTGACCAGGGCATCTCCTGTTCGCATACCCACGACGCTGCGGTAGGTCTAGACATCTGGGATGGTTTCCTACAAAGACGCTGAAATCTTGTAATTCTGTAACAAGACGACAATAATAAAAATGGAGGGCGACTGTGTGTGTTTGTTCGATTTTATTTCAGCAAAGCACTGTTCACACAAACCAGTCCTGGTGGTGGATGCCTTTAGTCTCCGCACTTAGGAGCAGAGGGAGAGGGATCTCTGTGTTCAAGGTCATCCTGGTCTACATAGTGACTTCCAGGCCAGTCAGGGCTATATCGTGAACCCAGTGTCAAAGGATAAAAAAAAAAAACCGCTCAAATCCAAGCATAGTTAATGTGCACCAGGGGCAGGTAACCTAGTAAGGATGGTCCTTATGATGGAGGTCCACTTTAAGCAATCTAAAAATGATCTGTACAGACTGTTGAGTGCCTTAATTTCTTGTTGATGCGTCGTAGGGTCAGGAATGGCACCGCACTCCTGATCTCTATCCTTTAATCACCAGAGTGCGCAAACATGTTACGTTATACGGCACGGGAATTTAGCTGATGCAATGAAATTTCCATTATCCGGGAGCTCATTGTGTAATCAATCACTAGGGCCCTTATAAAAGAGAGAGGCAAAAGCTTCCAAGTCAGTTAGTTGTAGGAGCTGTGACACAAAATAGCCGAGTGACGTGTGGAAGAGTCAATGTGCCAAAGAATGCATGCAGCTCTGGAAAGCTGAAAAGGGAGGAAATGGGTTTTACCCTGAAAGAACTCAAATCTGCTTTGATTTTAGATTTCTGACCTCCACAACTCCCTAATCCAACTAAATGGGATGTTGTTTATACATCTAACGTTGAAGTAGTTTGTTACAGCCATAATAAGTTCTCTGCATTTATATAAAAGTACAAAGAAAGCAAGCACAAACTTAACATTATATCCTAGGGACTACCACTGTCTTGTTTTGTCAGAGCCATGACAGAATATCTAACAAAATGAGGAGAGATGTGTTTGACTCACATTTTGAGAGGGTTCAGTCCTTCATGGCACTACAGAGCAGTAGTTCATGTAATTGTAAGGCTGGAGAATCTGGCCTACAGGGAGAGGCCAGGGCAAGGTATAACTCTAGAGATACCTCTAGTGACCTTCCTAGGCCCCACTTAGGCCCCACCTCCTCCCTTTCACCACCTGCTAATAATGCCAGCATATTATGAATCCGTCAAGGATCACTCCATTGATGAGATCAGAGCCCACATGATGTCTCTGGAAATGCCCTCACAGACACTCCCAGAGGTGAGCTTCACTAGGTGTCTAGGTGTTTCTAACCAAATGTATGTGTCTGATCACAACCACAGCCATCAGACTCAAGAACTCTTATTTTGAACAATATGTTTTATATTTTTGGGGTCCTGATTACTAATAAAGAGAAACTTTTTTTTTCATTTTGTTGGGTCAAAGAAAGTATTTCACTTAATTTTAACTAATGAAAATATTTTGTCACTAATTTCCAGGGTAGATATAAAGTGTTTGAGTAGACATTTCTCCAAAGAAGATACAAATAGCCAACAGCACAAGAAAACACAGGTACTTCACTAAGTATGATGGTTTGAATGAAAATTGCCTCTAATATGTCCATAGATTTGAATACTTAGTTCCCAGTTGGTGGAACTGTTTGGGGAGGATTAGGAGGTGTGGCCTTGTTAGAGGCGTGGCACTAGGGTGAGTTTTGGCAAAGGTCTCAGAAGACCTCTACCTCTGCCTCCTGCTTTTGGATTAAGAAGGGAGTTGTCATCTTTCCATGCCTTTGCTCTGCCATCATGGGAACCCAACTCTGAAACTGGGAATCCAACTCTGAAACTGGGAATCCAACTCTGAAACTGGGAATCCAACTCTGAAACTGGGAACCCAACTAAATGCTTTATTTCATAAGTTGCCTTAGTGGTGGTGCATTGACACAGTGATAAAAAAGTCACTAAGATACCACTCATTAAGGAAATGCATGTCAAAATCAGTGAAGGCCTGTGAGATGATCATCTGGTAGGTAAATGTACTTGCCAGATGACTAGAGTTAGATCCCAGAACTCAAGAAAATATCCAAGGCCAGGGAGACAGCTCAACTAGTAAAAAGTACTTGCAAAGCAACCTAAGTTTGATTTTTAGATTCCACAGTGGAAGGAAAGAACTGGCTCCTTAAAGGTGCCCTAGACCCTCACAACTTTTCTATGACATACCTGTGCCCACAAAGTTGCCCTAGAACCACAGCTCCACTGTGGTACACCTGTACCCACACATCAAGCATACAGAATCAAATGCTGAGGTCCATTTAGCCCCACTAGGAGAGTGCTATTTTAGAAATAATCCTTGCAAAAACTAAAAATAGACAAGATCAGCAAGACGGACAAGACTCAAAGAAACTGGGAGCCTTTTGCACAGTTGATATGTAAAACAGCAGGATAGGAAAAAATTCTATGGTATTTCCTTGAAAATAGTAAGTAGAATTATATAAACTAGCAATCCCATTTCAGAATATATGCCCAAAAGAAGTCAAAGCAGCATCTTGGATATTTATACATCCATATTAATAACATTATTATTTATAATACACAAAATACAGAAACAACCTGAGTCTATGAACATAAAATGTTAATACTAGTACTTGCATACACAGTGGAATTTTACCCATCCACAAAAAGGAACGAAATTCTAATACATGCTATGACATGAAAGTTTAAGAAACAATGCTAAATGAAAAAAACTAGTTGGGAAAGACAAATACATGATTCTATTTCTAAGAGGCTTAGAATAGTGTAATTCATGGACACAAATCAGAGTGGGTGGGAAGCGGTTCTGGGGGGGAAGGGATGACAAGTTGTTTGATGGCAGAGTTTCTATACAGTTGCCTAGAAGAGAACGTTTTAGACATGGATAGTTGCACAATATGAATGTATTACTACTACACTGTGAAAATGGTTACTATGGTAAAATTTCTGTTTTGTGTATTTTACAATAAAAGCAATTGACTTTTAATAACGATTCTCTTGGAGACTTTTTTTTTTTAAAGTCTTGGTTCACGATTATCTGTCCTTTAGGTGGTTACAACAAATCCTATAGAGTATCTTTTCTCTCACAGTTCTGGAGAAAGGAAAGTCAGAGTTCAAGGTGCCAGCAGATAAGGCACCTTAATTGCTGGTTCAGAGATGGCTTCTTCTCTGTGTCTCCTCACTTGGTGTAAGAGTCAAGGCAGGTGTCTTATCTTTGTAACTTTAATTATTTTCAAACCTTATTTTTAATGATGGTTCTTAAATGCTTTAACCTCACTTTAGCCCACCACCCACCAGAGCTAGTGGAGAAGAAAGGAGATCGGGGAAATGAACCTGTTTAGAAATGGTTCTTTGGAGCAAAACCCATCTGTGTTGTCTGGAAATTGGCAGTTCAGATCACAGGTTAATAGCAGCAGCTTGAGCTACTTGCAAACATCTCACTGAAATACCAGGTCAGCAACAGCGGTGGCACTACCTAGCAGAGAGACCCAGGCCTTGGCCTTGGCATGAGTCAGTGGGAGGGACCAGCAGGAATGCTAGGACAAGTGCTGCCTCTCTCAGCAGTGAAGCGAAGATCAACAAAGACTTGAGACCCACAAGCATTGTCCAGCTAGCTCTATAGGCAAGCCTAGCTCAGCCCGTCACTGTCCGTTGAGTCCTCTTTATTCCCTCCAAACATCACCTGTCCTCCATGGGTCTTGCCTCAGCATGTATTTTGCCTCAACATATTCATCTGTCTCATCTGACATCACTCTGCCAATCAGCCTGAGTCTGTGGAAGTGGCAAGAAACTATAGCACATCAGCAGAAGTTTTTTGGTGCATTTGATGCATATGGAGTCCTGACAAATGCAGTTCAACTACAAAATGTTAGGCAGACCAATACATGTATGTTATTAGCAAAGAATTCTTCATCACATATGTGTCCTTTCACGTGCTTTCTTTAGCAGAACATCCTCTCTCCTGTGTCTGCTTCAGCAAAACATTCCTTCTCCACCTGTGTCCACTTCAGGAAAACATCGCTTCATGTGTTTGCCCCAGAAAAACACCTTCCAACACAAATGATTTTCTCCAAAGAACCCTTAAGTTTTCCCTTCATGTCTTCTCCCCTTTCTTGAGGCAGGGTTTCATGGAGCTCAGGATGTCTTCAAACTCACTGTACAGCTGAGGATGGCCTTCAACTCTTGATCTTCCTCCTCTTATAATTCTAGAATTTCAGGCTTGCCCCACCACACCTGACTCATAGCCCCTTAAAAAAAATTAACCTTTATTTTATGTGTGTGTATGTTTTGCCTGGGTATAGTGTCCAAGAAAGCCAGAAGAATGTGTTAGATGCCCTGGAACTTGAATTACAGATGCCAAGTGGTATGGGAAATCTCATCGTGGTCCTCTGGAAGAGCAGCCAGAACTCTTAACTGATGAGCCATCTCTTTAGCTTTTCAGCCCCTTTTTAAGAGGCTCTAACATCACCCATACAGGCTGTGCAAATGCCCTTCCTGTAGTCACACCTTTGAATAGCCAATCATTAGTAATTGGGGTTCAGCATAAGTATTTGGAAGGAGACTTAAAACATTCAGACCATGGTGATAGATTTTTCTCTGTCCTCAAAAAAATGTAGTGAAATAGCATGTAGAACATTCAAAAGTTTAACCATATGCATTTTGGGGTCATGAGCTATCAAATAGTCTTAAC